TCTTTATTTTAAAAATATATTTTATTGATTTCAGAGAGGAAGGGAGAGGGAGAAAGAGATAGAAACATCAATGATGAGAGAGAATCATTGATCGGCTGCCCTCCTGCATGCCCCCCACCCGGGGACTGAGCCCTGCAACCGGGCATGTGTCCTTGACTGGAATCGAACCTGGGCCCTTCAGTTCGCAGGCCGGGGGCGGGCTGGGTTCTCCGGGAAAGGCTGGACACGTGCGGAGAAGGTGTGTGTGGGGGGGGGTGGCTCGTGGTGTGCCCGCTGGGCCGGTCCCGGAGTTGGGGGCGGTGTGGATGGACGAGGCCGGAGAAGCTGGCAGAGAAGAGCCACGAATGCCGTGGTGACCGACTTAGACTTTGCGTCCCCGGCAGTTTAGGAGCCGCCGAAAGTGGGGGGCCTGAGAGTGGCTGCCGGGCCTGTACCTGTGGCCCGGTCCTGCCTGCACCTGGGCCTGGCCAGGGCCGCGCGGAATCGGGAACTAAAATGAAGCCTGGCTCCTGCTTCACCTCCACGCCCAGAGCTGTCCTGGGAGGAGTAAGCGCCATCACCCCCATTACACAGTTGAGAAAACTGAGGCTCAGGAAGTTTGTCAGAACTGGAAGCTTTCAGCCACCGCCTCCCCCTGGGAGAACAGGAGCCCCATGAATTTGTGTGGCTTTACTTCTCGGTCATAAAAGTTTTTCATGTTCCTCAATGGACTTGAGCCTGACTCACCCGCATTTTGCAGATTAAAGAAAACTGTGGGAGATGGAGAACAAATCTAAAGAAAAATGGAAAAGTCCTAGATGTGTGTAGGTTCTCCCTTTTCGTGGGGACAGCTCCATTCTGCTCACCAGCTGCTCTGGCCTGGGCCTCCAGGGGGGAGCGGGGGCGGGGTCTTGGCTACGGAGTGTCCCCTGGTTTGGGGTAGTTGGCCCAATGCTGAAGACGGAGCACTTTCACGGGCAGCTAGTGGGTCCTTCTGAGCTGGAATCAGCAGGGGGCTGCCTCCTGGGGCCGAGGCAGACCAAGTGGTGTCAGTGATGAGGGGAACGCCGGAGCCAGACAGGGACAGCCCCCTCTCTCCGCCAATTTCTGTATCTGCAAAGTTGGGGTTGGACCAAGTACCTTCCTGCTCAAAACACAGGCAGTTGCTGTAAAAAAGATACAGTGTCCACCGCAGATAGTCCATACCTATCTGTTGTAACAGTGAATGCCCTTCCCCCTCCCCCCTCCCCAGTGACTTGCCCTCAATTCCGCCTGCATTTCCTGAGCACTTGCCCTGGGGTGGGAGGGGCTCCCAGCAGTTTGTTAGGATAAAAGGGCCTCACTCGCTGCAGCCCCGCCAGCCTCCATGGGCAGTGAGCTCTGACTTGGGCAGGTCACTCGCCCCATGGAGCCTCCATCTAGAAACCGGGGTCTTGCCCTGGCCCGGAGGCTCAGTTGGTGGGAGCGGCATCCCGTGCACCACAAAAGGGGTGGGTTCGATTCCCAGTCAGGGCACATACCTAGGTTATGGATCTGATCCCCAGTCTGGGCGAGTATGGGAGGCAACCAGTCAATGTTTCTCACATCCATGTCTGTCTGTCTCTCTCCCCCTTCCTCTCTCAAATCAATAAAACATCCTTTAAAAAAAAAAAACCTTAGAAATCAGGAGTCTTAGCAGGGAGGGCTGGGAAGGCATGAGATAAGGTGCCACCCGTGCCCAGCACACAGTGGGCAGTCACGGGACCAGTGCCCCCTCTGCCCTGCCCGCACCTGCCCTGCCCCAGTGTTTTTCCATGGCCTCGCTGCCGCTCCGAGTTATGGGCAGAGCGGTGAGTCACGGCTTTGCCTGACCCACCCCGCAGTCATTGTTGCAGGGGAACCTGCTGCTGTGAACCCACATGTGGGGAGGGCACAGGCACCTGCCCGCAGGGATGGGGTCCCCCAGTTCCATCCACAAGGCGATGATCCTGGCGCCTTGCCTCAAAAGAAAGGTCCCTTGGAAAGGCTGGGGAAGTGTAAGTTTCAGTGCTTCCACCGTGGAGGGATTGTGGTCACGCCCACCCACAGCCTGGGAGAAGCCAGCCCTGAGGACGCCCTCTACCCCAAACCTTAGGTTGTCCCCCCCCGCCCCCTCCGCCGTCACCCTGCCTCTGACTGTCTCCTCCGTAAAATCTTCCAGGGCCCTCCAGGCCCAGCACCACTCACCCGGTCCTCCCAGACGGCCCAGCCCGACTGCGCTCTGCCACTCGGCCGTAGCTCCCTGGGCAAGATCCTGAGTGCTTCATCCTCACACCCCGAGGGGCCTGTGCTGCCCAGCGCACGAAGCTGCCTGTGCCGGGTAGCTAGCAGGTTTCCAACTGCTGGGGTGAATTTTGCATCTTTTTTTAACAATTGTGAGAAATAGGTTTTCGGGAGAGCTGGCCTTTGTTCAGTCCCTGCTGTGTGCCAGGGACTCCTGTGCACCGTTGCGTTGGCCTAGCCGGCAAAGCTATCCTGGAAGGCGATGGTTCCCGCCCCCCGTGCCAGGCCTCAGAATGGTGGGATGCTGGGAGCAGGTGCTTTTGGAGCATTTGCTGGGCTCAGGTTCTAGCTCTTCATGTGTGTTCATCGTGAATCCTCCCAACAACCCTCTGAGGTAGGTCCTACTATGCCAGCGGTACGGATGGGGAAACTGAGGCACGGCGTGGCTCGTTGTCTCGTTCGTGGTCACATGGCCCGGCTCCAGAGCACACAGGAGGCTGACTCTTCACCCGCAGCACGTGGCTGGCCGTTGTCCTTTGCCAGGGAAACGCAGGGACCAGGGCCTTTACCTTCCTGGCCCGGACCTCAGGTCACGCTTCCCGCGGGCCTGGCTGCTGCTTGGCCGGGGGGCGCGGTGGCCACAGGAGGCCCAGACACCTGTTTCCCTCTGGGTTTTCCCAGCTGCCCTGGTGTTCGATGGGTTCCTCTGGTGAGAGCAACATTGGGGTGAGATCCCTGGCCACCGAGATCTTGACCTTCATTTGCTTCCAGTGTGACCAGAGCCACACACACACACACACACACACACACACTCTGCCTCGGGATTCGCTTTCCCTGTGCAGCAGGGGCCAGAGGAGACATGATTCGGACACATGCGTGCAGGCCCGCTTCTACGCGTGGTCCTGCGGGTAGGCTGGGTCCCAGTTCTGACCGCGCTCTCTTTAGGAGCCTCAGTTTCCCCACCTGTGAAATGGGTAGATGGCGATCGACAGGCCCAGCTTCTCCTGAGGGGTGTAGTTTGACCTGGAGGCCGGGAGCGGAAGTCCGGCTGTGGTGAGGGTTCGGGGCTGGGCCTCCCTCCGACACCCACGCTGTGGTCCCCAGGTGTTCGACGCGGGGGAGATGTTTGGGATCATGCAAGTGGAGGAAGTGGAGGAGGAGAGTGAGGACGAGGCCGCACGGGAAGCGCACAAGAAGAAGCCCAACCCGGGCAGCGAGCTCTGCTACAAGGTCATCGTGACCAACGAGAACGGGCTCCAGGCGGCCGACCCCAACAGGTAGGGCCTGGGTGGGCCGTCGTTGTGGCTGTCAGGGCCAGGCTTCCTTTCAGAGGCCCCCCCGAGGTGTGGGCTTTGGGGAGCAGCAGCCATTGCAGGAGCTCACGTGCTCCTGTGTGACGAGCCCTGTGGCCGCAGGCTTCCCTGGGGCTCAGGGCGGCGGCGGTCCTGGTACTGGTGGCGCCGCCTGTGGGTCTGTCCTGAGAGCGGCCTCCCATGCCACACCCGCCACAGTGGTCGCGCAGCAGGTGATGGTTCTGGTTTTGCTGACGAGGAGGCGGGAAGGACTTCGCCAGCACCCCTAGCTGTTGAGTGTGGGTGTCAACCCATCGCAGTCTTACTGGGGAACCCCGCTTTTGCGAGGACGCCTGGCCTCTCCCCGTCTCCGGAATCTGCATCTCCGGGTGGCGCCTGGGACCCAACATGTTCTCTGGGGCTTTGTTCCCAGGACTGAGGAGTGTGGTCTGGTTGAGTCCCAGGTGAGGACACCGAGCCCAGAGCAGAGCAGGGCTGGGCCTTGTCCGGGCCACAGGGTGGACAGGGCAGAGCTAAGACTGGACCCCAGCTCCCTGCTTCCTGGGGCTGCCGGCCAGGACAGGCCTGCAGGTCCCTCTGCCAGACTTTGCTGGCACCTGGAGGGAGGACCCTGTTGGCCTCTGGGAGTCGTCAGGCCCCGTGTCCTGGCTCTTCAGGGAAGGGGCGGGCCGAGTTCGCCAGCCCGAAGTGGGAGTGGCCCCCCAGGTCACGGCAGCCCCAGCACCTCCGCCACCTGCTCTCTGATGCAGACACTCCCAGGGCCCTTCTTTCCCACGGGAGCTCAGCGCCGCCGGCCTCCACCTGCGCCTGCTCCGGTTCCACCTGTGGGCGCCCGGGGCTCAGGCCCAGGCGAAGCGGGCGCGTGGTACCCCCAGGAGCTCTGCACTGCGCCACGTGGCATGAACTCCAAGCAGGAGGGCAGGGGCACCTTCACTTGCGTTAGGGGATACAAAGTAACAGCGTCTTCATGCCCGTGCGGAAGGTCCCAGGACCTCCTCAGATGCCAAACCCGCAGGTGCTCACCTCCCCTGGATAAACGGCGTAGCACAGGGTGGGCAGGAGGAGGTCTGTACTTGTGAGTACGTGAAGCACTTTATTCTTTTTTTTTTTTAATATATTTTATTGATTTTTTACAGAGAAGAACGGAGAGGGATAGAGAGTTAGAAACATCGATGAGAGAGAAACATCCATCAGCTGCCTCCTGCACACCCCCCACTGGGGATGTGCCCGCAACCAAGGCACATGCCCTTGACCGGAATCGAACCCGGGACCCTTCAGTCCACAGGCCGGTGCTCTATCCACTGAGCCAAACCGGTTAGGGCTTATTCTTGTGTTATTGACTAGTTATTGTATTACTTTCCCTGCGAGCAGCTGTAACCGTACTTTTGTCCCACCCTGCATTTGCCTGTAACCTACCCACACCCTGCGTGTGTTTAATCATCTCTAGGTTACTTAGACCTAACGCAACGTGAACGTGTGTGAGCTGTCTTTGTACTCAGTGGTTGAGGGAACAGGGGCCAAACAGCGTCTGCACATGGTCCATACAGATGCCACCCTCGTAGGCCTGGCCACACCGCACGCCGGACCCCGCACGGGCGGCAGATGTTTCAGCTTCAGGTTGCTGAAGCCGAGACCGCGGAGGGCCGGCTGTGTGAGCGCATAGAGTAGAGCCTGCCGAGCCTGCCGGCAGCTGAGACCTGGCACACCAGCCGTCCCGGGCATCTTAGCCAGGGAGCAGGCCAGGCCCGTTCACCTGTTTGTGTGGGGTCGGTGTCTGGCAGCCCTGTCCTGGGGGTAGGAGGGCGGGCATGGCCTGGTCCTCCCTCTCAGCCCCTGCGTGTTGCATGGACGCTCTGCAGCTCCTCCCCCAGGCTCCTCCCGGGAAACCGGGGTGCGGGCTGCCGGTGTCCATATGTGTGGGGACCTGAGGCCTCTCCCGGAAAAAGGCCGTGGTGCTTCCCAGGAGGTGCCCTGAGGGCCCGGCGAGCGTGATGAGCTCCGAGTGGCGGCTCCTTTGAGCTCCTGCCGTGGCCGGGCTGCAGGTGCAGGTGCACGGTGTGGGGCAGCCCCTCCCCGTTACGGTGGTCGCTGTAACAACCACAGCGCACAGTCAGCACGTTGTGTGTCCCGTCTCCTGGTGCTCCATCGGCCGGTGGTCGGACGCAGGCCCCTGTCGTCCTGTTTTAGAAACGGGTAGAGGCACGCGCCCACGGCCACACAGTGAGTGGTCGGTGGAGTGCGGGCCCAGGCCACAGCCCGGCCCCTCCCTCCTCTCGTCCCCTGCTGCTGCCCTTCTCTGTGCCCGCGTGGCAGCCTCATTACGTGGCCTGTGCCTGCAGCATCTTCCTCATCGACCACGCCTGGACGTGCCGCGTGGAGCACGCCCGCCAGCAGCTACAGCAGATCCCGGGGCTGCTGCACCGCATGGCCAACCTGATGGGCGTTGAGTTCCACGGGGAGCTGCCCAGCGCCGAGGCCGTGGACCAGGTGCTGGGGGAGATGTGGAAGTTCAACCAGACCTACCAGCTGTCCCACGGGGTGAGTGCGCTGCCCGGGTGGGGGGGTGGCGGGGCAGAGGGCGGATGCGGACATGGGCCTTCGCTGCCCATGTGACCAGGGCTGGTGGGCGGCCAGGAGCCCGGACCCAGCCGGCCCCCACCTCACAGTGAGCAAGCTCCCCTTCTCCCCTGGCTCCATCGTGGGCCCGTTACCTGCCCGGGACCAGCCAGTACCAGGACCCGGGTGTCTGTGGATTTAAGCTCACAGGACACGCCCCCTCTCAGACCCCTGCACCTGGGCTGCCTCTTTCCTGGCGCCTTCGGAGAAGAGTCGAGTCCTGTCGGCACGTGTCCTGGGGCTTTGGTCACCCGGCCCCCCACTCACCCTCGGCTCCAGCCCTCACCGCTTTTAGGGAAAAACAAGTTGTTCTCAGGATCTCAGCTTCTATGTCACCTCCCCTGAACGACAAGTCTCCCGTCTGCCCCTCCCCCAGCCCTGGTCACACACACAAAGCCTCACACATCCCGGCGGCTGCCAGGCCGCATGCCTCGTCTCCACGCGCCTTCAGCACACGGCGATCACCCGTCTGCGGCCTAGGTCCTGGTCTGCCGGGCGGGGCCACGTCCCGGAGGCCCCGGTCCGAGGGCTGGGGTCTGCGTGACAGCCACTCCGCACTCAGAGCACTGGGTGGCTGGTGCCGGGTGCGGGGATGGGCGGCAGGGACGGTGGCTGGGCCGTGGACGAGGGCGGTGTCTCTGCCCACAGACGGCCGAGGAGAAGGTGCCGGTGTGGTACATCATGGACGAGTTCGGCTCGCGCATCCAGCACGCGGACGTGCCCAGCTTCGCCACGGCGCCCTTCTTCTACATGCCCCAGCAGGTGGCCTACACGCTGCTGTGGCCCCTGAGGGACCTGGACACAGGCGGTGAGTCAGACGCCCATCCCCTCGGAGGTGGCCAGGCCGTCTCCTGCCACCCCTGATGGGCCCGCGTGTCTCGGTGCAGAGGAGGTGACCCGGGACTTTGCCTACGGAGAGACGGACCCCCTGGTCCGGAGGTGCATGCTGCTGCCCTGGGCGCCCACCGACCTGCTGGACGTCAGCTCCCACACGCCCGAGCCGCCCGCTGAGCACTACCAGGTGGGGGCCTCCCTCAGCTCATGAGCATCCTCCACTCAGCGCCAGGTGTTGCTGAATGACACCAGTTCCTGTGGGCGGGGGGGTGGGGGGGAGCCATAGAGACCAGGGGCTCGGAGCTTGGGCCTGTGGCTGCACCGCTTGGGCGTCGGCCCGAGCCCTGCCCTGGCGCTGCTGCTGGGAGCCGCCCTCTCTACGGAGCTGGGTGCTGGTGGTCAGGGCTGCTCTTCCCCGTCTTTGTTCCCGCGTCTCCTGACACCGCCCTCCCCGGGGACAGGGACACTGTATTCCAACCCGTGCAGCACAGCTCCCAGGTGCAGGAGCCTCGATAAGTAGCTGCACCGTGAGGGCAGAAAGGTGCTTTTAGTCTGTGGACAGCCTCTCGGTCAGCGCCCCCAGGACACACCGGCCCCGCCCAAGTGCCGGCCGGGCTGGTGGTGAGCTTAGTGCAGGGCCCAGTACGTGGGGGCCCAGCTCAGGGAGCCGGGGTTAGTGAGGCCTGGGGGCGTGGGGCAGTGGGGCCTGTAGGTACACAGCCACTGCCAGGGCCGGGCAGGGCTGGGCAGGGGTTAGCGCCCGGCCCCTTTCCCTCCCCGCCCTCTGGTCTCCTGCCACTGCCTGCTGTTGGCTGGTCCCCGGTGGAAACCGGGCAGCGAGGGCGCCTGTGCTTAGTCCTTATAACAGTGGGATCAACAGGCCTGTTTTTGCCTTTGTTGTACTGAGGATGAGGAAACTGAGGCACAGAGAGGTTAAGTAACTTGCCAAAGGTCACACAGCTGGTGGGAGAACCGGAGTCCAAAACCAAGGGGACCTGATAGCTTGCGAGCAGAGGCCACACACCTCTGCCTCCCTTCCCACCCGTCTCGAAGCCGCCTTATCCCCCAGCACGGCCGCAGTTACTGTGGGGGGTGCTGTGTGGTGCTAGCTGTTCCGAGTGCTGCTGATTGGGAGGCGAGTGCCGCGGGGGTCCTGCCGGCACTTTCCCGCGAATTCTGGGTCATCACGGTGACGGAACTAGCCATGCCGAACACTCCGTGGCCACCCTTCTTGTTCAGAGATGTTCCGGAGGCTCGTAGAGTGCATGCGCCTAGTAGGTGCTTAGTAAACGTTTGAAAAGTGAGTGAAGGCAAACGAGTGAGGCTTAAGGATGGCTGAGGGACAGAGGCTTCCTGACCTTTTTTTTTTTATTATTATTATTGATTTCAGAGAGGAAAGGAGAGGGAGAGATAGAAACATCAATGATGAGAGCGAATCATTGATTGGCTGCCTCCTGCACGTCCCCCACTGAGGATCAAGCCCACAACCCGGGCATGTGCCCTGACCGGGAATCGAACCGTGACCTCCTGGGTCACAGGTCCACGTTCAACCACTGAGCCACGCCGGCCGGGCGAGACTTCCTGATGTTAACGTTGTTTGTTAGAGGGACATGAATGAAAATGTCTTTCTTCCTTGGGTCGCCCTCTACTGGCCAGGACGAGGGCTAAGAGGCCCAACCCTGAACCGCCCTGGTGGTTCGACCACATCGGCCCGCCTGGCTGAGGCCTGTGCTCTGGGCTGGTCGCCTGCTTAGCTAGTTATCTCCCGGGAGCACGTCCTCCAGCTTCAAACAGCAGACGTGTATCAGCCCACACCGCCTGTGCTGGAGGCACAGCCAGGCTCAGTCAGAGCCGCCCCCGGAGGCCTGGGGGGCTGGGACCTGCCTCCACACGGCAAGGTGTGGCTGCTGGCAGAGGCCGCGGGGCCTCCAGGGCTGCTGGCGTGCCCTCCCGGGGTGGCGGCTCACTGCTCGCAGAGCAGGTGACCCGGGAGAAGGGGGAGGAAGCCCCAGGCCTTGGAGGAACTTGCACAATGTTCTTCCACTTCCTGTTGGTTAGAAGCAACTCGTTCAGCCCACACACAGAGGAGGTGAATGAAGCCCTTTGAAGGGAGGTCAGCCACCAGTTGCCCAAGCTGGGAGCAGCCCCTCCAGGGCAGGCTGTGGTTTGGCGGTGGATTGAGGAACGGGCCGTCCAGCACCTGCGGGGCCTCAAGCCCCGACCCCCGGTGGGTGGTCGGAAGCTCCATGTGAGGGCTGGGTGTGCCCCCAGATCCCAAGCCCCGCTGTGCCGGGATGGGGAGGCGGTGCTCGAGGCTTCCTTTCTCGAGGGCCCGGCTCCACCTCCCATGTCTTTGCTTCCAGGCCATTTTGGAGGAAAACAAAGAGAAGCTGCCACTGGCCATCGACCCGGTGGTGCGTCCCAGCGACCACATCTTCAGGTGCGTACCCTCAGCTTCCAGCCAGACTTCCTGGGTCCCCTTCCCCTCCGGTTCCGCGGCTCCCACAACCGCACCCGCTCAGCGAGGCGCTCCTAGGCCCGCTCTGTCTTGGGGGCACTGCAGTGACTGAGATGCCAAAAGTGGGGTTCTTAGGGTCACAGAGAACGCTACAGGCAGTGAGGGGTGAGCGGGCCTGGAGGAAGAGTTTAAAACTCACCTTGAAGGACAGAACTCGGCTGTGAGTGTGCAAGTGGGGGTGCAGAGCCCCGTCCACCTGTTGGACAGGCCCAAGGTGGGTCCCGCTCGGCGATGACTGGCCTCTCCCTCCAGTAGGAGCTCCTCCAGCTGCCCAGACCGGGTCTGGCCAGAAGGAGCAGCACCTCCCCTCACCCCGTCCGCCAGTCCTGGGGGTTCCTCCCGCTGCCCGGCCCTCGTCCCCTCTCCCGAGGCCCGCTGCCCAGCACCCCTCCACCTCCCTGAGCTGCTCCCTGCCCCAGTCCTGCCAGCAGCCCAGCCCCGCTCCTCTGCTCCTCCCGGAGCCCCTCCCAGGCTGGCCCTCCTGCCTCCACCTCCACCCCAGCAGACAGGCTCCCAGGCCCTGACCACACCTCTGCCCAGGGCCCGCGCAGGCCGGGCCAGGCGGGCACAGCGAGCACCAGTGTGGAAGGAGGCCTTGTGGGGCACGTGCCTGAGCAGCACGCTCCCCTGGGGCACCCGGGGCAGCGGCTCCTCGAAGGGTCAGGCTCCTGGTGTCTGGGCAGTGGCGTGTCGACCGGTCCCTGTGTGTCCACGGAGGGCAGCCGCCTTGGTGCACCACTCAGCTTCCCCTGCTTCACCCTAAACAGGCAGCCCTTCCATGGGGGGAGCGGACTGTAAGGGTCCCCCCGCCTGACCAGCCCCCTCCCCGCAGGGTCCACACAGACGTGCAGCAGGTGCTCAGCCACCTCACGCACCCCCGCTTCACCTTCACGCAGAGCGAGGCGGACGCCGACATCCTCTACAACTTCTCCCACTTCAAGGACTACAGGTGCGGCCCTCCCCCG